ATTGAAAAAGATTTCTTAAATGAAAAATTAAAAACTAAATGAATTGAAAAACTTAAAAAGATGAAAGTTTTTAGATTAAAACTTGAAAACTTTAAAACACAAAGTTGAAATTGAAGAAAAATCAAATTTTTAATTTGAAAGATTGTTAAACTTTATTAAAAAATTAAAATTGAATTTGAAAAAAAAAACTCAATTTGTGAATTTTAAACTAAAGTTTTATGTTACTTCTGACTTAAATTTATCTTGTCGAAATTTAAAATTTCATATTTTCCAAAAGTAAACTTTATTATTTAAAGTTTTATGAGGAAAAAGTAAGAAAACAAAAAATTAAAGAATTTGTGAATTTACATTGTTAATCAATATATTAAAGTCTCAAAGTAAATTTTGAAATAACAAACAAGTTTAATTTGTGATTTTTAAAAAACAATAAAAAGTTCAAAGCTACAAATTAAAATCTAATAATCTTGTGACTTAAAAATCAACAATAACAAATATAATTACACAAAAAACTGTTAAAATTACGTCAACATTGTGTTTACATCTAGAATAAATTCTATCAAGTGTTACAAAAGCCAAAAGATCACAAAAAAAAAGTTCAAAACTCAAAATTATTAAAAATTCAGACCAAGAAAATTATAAATATTCCGAAAAAAAATTCGTTGCTAAACAGAATTCCTAATTGTTATCAAACAAAAAACTACGTAATAGTGAAAAAAATTGTGTCGAAAAGTGAAAAAAAAAGAATTGGGTTAATAATTAAACGGAAATCCAACAAAAAAAATTTCAGTGTTGAACTTGAAAGGAACTTTTTCCTAGAGAGTAAAAAAATAATAAAAACTTTGCTTTTGAGTCAAGTTCAGATGGCAACAAAAAAATTTTCATTCATTTTCTAAGCATAACTGGATAATAAAAAGAGTCATGGAATATCAAGCTTTACCTGAAAGTTTGTAAGTTTAAAATTAGAATAAGATGAAGAGTTTAATGGAATTGAATTTTTATTTTCAAAGTTTCTGTGAAGATAATTGATTTCTGAAGAAAATTGTCTGCATGTGTTTTATTTGATAAGATTATATTAATGAGTATTGGCTGCATTTGATATTTATTTAATCTCGGTTTATTGATAATTCTTGTTTAATGCGAAAAATAGCTAGTTTTGCGTAGTTTCGCACCCCTTCGATTCTGAAATTACATTATTCTCCTTAACTTTGAAAAATAAGCACAAATCTGAAATAAATTTCAACATAAATGAAAAACTCGATGTATTTTTACACCCCTTAAAGCGTAAAACACCACTAGACTTAGTTGTCTACCCCTTCATGCTTAATATGGTGTTAGTCTTGAAGACAAACCATAGTTTGAAGGTTTGCACTCTAGTTTTAACTAAACTAGTTGAAATAAATACAAAATTTGCATAGTTTCACACCCCTTAAAATTTACAAAACCCCCTCAACAACATCAATAACCACACAGAAATTTCCCAAAAATTCAATTTAAAACACAAAAGTATTTCCATTACCAAAAATATTGAACATCGCAAAAATATTTGCCTCAATTGAAGCTCGTACAGCTCTCGAACAATGCTCGTATTTTAATTAAAAAATATTTTCGTTCACAACAACAAATCATTTTCATTAATGTTTCTCATTTAATGATTGTATATTTGACCCATTGGGCATACATGCCTCATTGAATTACCAAATTCATTAACTTGTTTAGTCCTATTTTGTACCTAATTTGAGTGCTAATGGAAAGTAAGCAAACAGACTATAAATTATCCATCATATGATTCACTGAGAGAGGAAAATGAAAACAGTCATCGATAAAAGCTGAGCCAACAACAGAACAAACAATCATGTGAGGAATGAAAAAATCCACAAAATTGGTTGGAGGGGGGGGGGGTGGAATATAGGAGGACTCATTCTAGTCAAGATCGAAGATTCAGAATGGATCAAAATATCAATTTTAAGGCAAATGTCATTGATGAATGAGCTCTTATCCGACCAAAAAAATGTAATCGAAATAAAATAATTAAGCATAAAATTATAAACGCATTAAAGGAGTTCCCCCAAATTCAAAAAAAAACAGCGAAATAAAGAGTTTATTTTTAGAATTAAATCGTGTGGCAAAAAGGAATATGCGATAATAATAATAACAGAGAACAGAGTACATAACAACAGAGCAGCAAAAAAATATTATTACGAGGTGCTTGCCTTCAAACAAAACAATAAATAAAAAGCGTAGTGGAACGAAATTGTTGGAGGTGTAAGAAGAAGAACATCAATTTTCATGTGTGTAATGTATCTCTTATTCCTTCAACAATAAATACACAAATAAATATAATTATAATGAAAATCCAGATTTGCTGGTTGTTGCTACATATTTACAAGAACAATAGAGTTGTAGAAGCAAACAAAAAAAAAACACAGAAAAGAATCAATTAAATGAAGTGTGAAGGAATTGTATCATGCTGTGAGTTGTGCCTTCGTTAATTTTTATTACCATTATATAAATCCTATCATCATCATCGCAGTCATCCATCGTCATCAACCAACACTGTTGTTACGTGTTCAGTTCTTCTAGCAAAAAAATATGATTCACCTTGATTTTAAATTTTTTGGTATGGTAAACTCTCATCGTTTAGTTGTTGATGACGTCATGGTTAATGAAGTGGAAATAAATTAAGTTCTATAAGAGAGTGGTCAAAAGTTGTGATGGAATGACGTAATGTGGAAGAATGGTGAGGCTTTTTTTTTTGCAAAAAATTTAAATTACAACCTTGCTACGAAATTTAATGATCTAGAAATGGGTAGGATTTGAACCCACAGCTTCTCATATGAGAATTATATATAGAGAGGCCCGGCACTTATACCATTCGGCTACTAAAAAACTTTAATTGATTTGGATAAAACCGATATTTAAGGACTCAAATGTCCAGTGAAGTTGAGACTGATGAAAAGGTTCAAGCTCGAAAACAAGGAGACAGTAGCTTACATTCAAATTTTCAACATAAAAGAATCACCAAGTTGCCACAAATCTATTAGCAGTTATCGCGCCACAAACATCCAATCCCACGTCAATTTCATTTTACGATAAATCAGCAACAATAATAAACAATTACGTAATATCGAGTGCATCGTAAATGATGATACACACGAAAATACACACGTTCACCACAAAAAATAATAAAAATTGTGTCACTCGATAAATGAAAAAAAAAAAAATTATTTTGAGCAACAAGAAAAAGAACTTTTTCAACACTGTATGCCTGTATGCTTAATTTTCATGAACGCCTGTTTCTTTTCTCCTTCTGCAATCTCAATTTTTCTCATGGATCGTTCATATCGTCAAAAAAAAATTGTTATGCTTCGTACTTTTTGTGAGTTCTTTGCTCTCAGCAAGCCACTTTTTCTCACCATCGTCTCCCGTTTAGCATTAAAATGAGGAAAACAATGAATCAGGCTGCTCAAAAAAAAGAAAGAATTAAGGTTTGTTTAGGATATTGGAGAGGAGAATGAAGAAAGATGAGAAATTCCTTTAATTTCTTCTTACTCAATGCCATGCCTTAATACAGCAGTCAGTGGCAGCAGCAAAATAAAAATCAATGCGAGAAGCGGGAGAGAATGAGAGGAAGAGAAATTGTATATAAAAAGGAGCAGCAAGTAGTATAGAACGATGTGTAGAACAAGAAGTCACCCGAATTGTGGCATTGACTTGCCTTTTAATTTAAGGAATTTATTTACCGTTTCTTTTACGTCTCTCGACTCTCTCTCTCTCTCGGCTTGCTTGTTACTTCTTACATATTATTTTTATTCTGGTTGCTGTAGCTGATTCCGACCTTATGTACATATCGATGAGGAAGAGAAATTATTGATTATGCGGAACAATAAGAAAGGTCTACATACCATATCTCAATATTTAATAATGTAAAAGTCAAAAACAAGCTTGGGAATGGAAAAAAAAGAGACGAAGAGAATTTACAGACACATATTATTTTTTTTTTTGAAGCTCAGCTGATGTTTATTTATATTTTTTTTTCTTTTCCCTTTTTACATGTTGCTGTCTTGTGTACTAAAATATTATAGCTGCAACTCACATGCAAAACAATTCTAATTATTTACAATCGATTGAATCTCTCTCATATTATTATGTCTACAGCCATACTCGTCATTTGTCTTTCTTAATTTATTTTTATTACTACAGCATTTTTTATTGTTGTTGTTGTGCCTGACTCTGACGATTTATATGACTTGACATATATTTTTATTCTCAATTCTATTACATCATCCATGCTGATAGAGCTATAAATACTTATTTTTTTAAATCTCATTATGAAATAACACGTATTTGAGTATGGGGGTCGTTGGTATGTTGAGTAACAGTAAACCTCCTATAAAGCCCTAAACCTACTTCATTAAAATGATTCTAACGGTCATGAATGATGCGATCTTGATCGTCTATAGAATCATTTGAGCCCTTCGTTGCTATGTCTGTCTTATAACACCATAAATTTCCATTCTATTACATCCATCACTTTCAAATAACCCCCAACAAAAAATTGCAAATTTAAATTAATTTTTTCCTATGTATACACATTGATGAGATGCATTCAAACAATACTGAGTTGCGGATGGTCAGGTATTGAGGTCTGTTACATGCCTCATCATATGATTTATAAATGACATTTGGCTTGTATTGTGTGATGACATGGGTGTACATAAGGGCACCATTAAAATCTTATTAAGTTTGCAATGCCAACTAAGTAGGTAGTCTAATCATCATTAAATTAGTTTTTATTGCTTACTCCGTAACGGATTGACTTTTAATGACTCACGAAGGGATCAAATTTTGCGACTATAAAATAAAATCTATCAAAAATTATGCAAATCTGTTTCAATAAAAATACATTTTATAACTCTTGTGCAAACAAAAGCTCGGCGCTAAATCATTGACATAACTACAACAATTTTTTATAATTACCAATTTTTTTCTCAATTTTTCAGATTAAAACGCGAAGAAGGTGGAGGTCAAATCATAATTCAAGCAATGGCACAGCCACAACAACTTCAAATTCAACAGCAAAATGGTGAACAACGACAAATGGATCATGATGAGAAAAAGATGCGTCGTCAAATTGCCAACAGCAATGAACGACGTCGAATGCAGAGCATTAATGCTGGTTTCCAAAGTTTACGTCAACTTTTGCCGCATCATGAAGGCGAAAAGCTTAGCAAGGTGAGTGTCGTTAAATTAATAAGACTCGGAGAGTTCCTTTGCGTACATACGGAGGGAATAAAAATGTTTTTACCTGCGACCGCGAAGGCATGAGCAAGGCATTAAAAATATTAATGAATACACACTCTGTGTGAGATGTCCTCGAACAATTCCTCTAATAATCGTGAAAGTATTGCTTATTAAGTGTGATAATTAAAAGATGCTTAATCAGTTTGTGCTGAAGATGGTGGAACCCCTTGTGAGGAGTTGAGGATTAATTTTTTGAATTTTCTCTTAGCAGACATCCCGCTTTTGGATATATTCCCAACTTTATTTGATTCAAATGTCCCAAAAAAATAAAAAAGACCCTCCTAACGACAAGTAACACTTTTTTATGAAGTCTAATATTTTAAAGATTCGAACATGAACCTTACGTATTTCAACTATTTATTCTAATTCCTTCTACAATTAAAGTTCTACAAAAATCTCTCAGGTATAATTAACCTCAAACAATAAATCCATCTTCAGCTTACAAACCATTCATAAATCCTCACTCAACAAGTATCCGCCTCAGATATCGTCACTCAAAACTATCCTAAGGGGATGTAACGAGTAAGAGAAAAATGTAATATGTAATATAAAAAAAAAACTGATGAGGTTGTAAAAAGCTGGCAATTAAGATGTGATTACAATGTTGCTGCACTTACATCGTCTGAATAATAAAAAATAATCAATTTGTCGAGTCTATTACTACAACAAATCCTTGCACTCAATTTGCACTTTTCGTTTTTTTTTTCACAATTTTCTGCTGCCTCAACAATGGGGAAGTGAATAGTAAACGAAAAAAAAAGTTGCTATCGAGGCTTAATCTTACGTATTGAAAGATTTCTCACTGATTAAGCAATTAAACGCATGAGCAAATCGTAAATTAAAACACTATTGATTGTGATTTTTTTTACATCTGCTCGCTGATCTTGTAATTAATATTTTTTTGAGCTACTTCTACACACATTCCAAGTGCACATAGCTTTACGAACTTATTTTTTCTGCAACATTGTATGCTTCATAAATATATCCGATATTTACAGACATAAGTCATAAAACATTGAAAATAAAGATACTATTAGCCTATTTTTTAAGATTATTTAAATTTACATATTCGCACTAGCATCTAAATATGTTAAATTAATAGATGAACATAGTCTTTGTAATGAGTGAAAAACTTACATCGGACATAGATTTTGATTTGTTTATTTAAATTAGGAATTTTTGTTGTCTCTGTGAAAATCACAAAGTTAGGATTCTTGGAATTTGCTTTTAGACAATCTATGGTGTAGCTTGTTGTTGGAATTGCTAGTTTTCAGTTAGATTTTGGATAAGAATTTAAAAACAAGATTTAAATTCCAAAAATTCATTATTTTTTTATGCTCTGAACAAAAAAAAAAATTTAATACGGGCCCAATTCTTAGCTTTCTTTTAGAGCTTTATCTCCATAAGATTCGAACTTTGACTTTCTCTATACTCAAGTCTGTCTATCAATTTTTACTGTGCTAATCAGTCGAACAATTTCCAATGTTAAATCCATTAAACACAACTTACATTGTAAGCTATTGTAAGCAATTGTTCACTTTTCTTTATTACTAGATCATATATGCAACAATGAAAATCATACAAATAAGTAAACAACTTGATGCTATTCGCACTTCAAAGTTGAGATTATCAACGTCAGATTAATACTTTATACTTCCAATATATGAGCATATAACATATATTTAAGGTCTCTAAAATTGATTTTTTTTTTTATTATGGCAATCATAAATTATAAATTTTATATCCATGCTATAGGTATTAAAACGTCCATAACTTCTAACACTTCTTTTTAAAGACATAAAAGATTTATGACATATTTCATCTCCTAGATTTTGATCGCATTTGTATTGTCATGTTTACATTGACTGCTGATTAAATGCACCTTTGAGCAGATAATAAAAAAAATCGCAGGCAATTAGGGACAACAAATAGAAACAAAAAAACAATAATAGAGAATGAAAATTGCAATTTAAGAGGCTATTGTGTGGTTTTGTTTTTGAAGTATATACGAAAAAAAATGAATATGAAAATCTTAACGATTGATAATTTTGCACAGCACATGAAGGACAAATGTCACACGTCACAATTAATGACTAAAGCAATGTTCTCTATCCAGTTCCCTTGACTCTTTCTACTTAAAGTCATTATTGGTGTTTGTGTGGCTTAAGTATCAATTTATAATGTTAGGCTATTCATAAGCCGATAATAATAATAAAATATTCTTTTAAATGAAGGCCAGTGCATAAAATCACATTGAGTTATATCATAATCACAGATAGCACTTACACACACTTAATTGTTTCTGTTTCTTTGCTGGCTGTTGCTATTCTTAACTAGAATTGGGGTTCTTAACAGTTTGTAGGTGGGATTGGATAGGTTTGGATTACTATACTAAGTCTATACACATAGAATGTGTTATTTTACTAGGTTTGGGTTACTATACTAGGTTTTAGAGCTTTACTGGGGATGTGTATCTACTAGGTATGGGAACTTTACTAAGTGTTGGTACTATACTAGGTACGAATCATTATTTTAGACTTAATAAGTCACTATACTAAGTATAGGCTACTATACTAGGTATCTGTCACTATACTAGGTATGGTTCACTAACTTTACTAGGTATGAGACTTTCCTTGACAAACAAACGACGTTAATTCTACACAAAAGACCTTTTTGTAAACAAGAATCTACGATGATTGCCAATATTTTGATTGCACAAACAGCAAAGAAGACGAAGAAGAAAAAAAGAATTGCTCATCGGAAATTGCACATTATTTTGTGGTGTCTCGTACAGAGAATTAAAAATAATAAGAATGTCTTGTGTGTATAGAAAAAATGTGCATTAAATAAATTTACAAGACTTTATAGATGTTTTTTTATAAGCACACATAGTATTTTTGTGCCATTACAATGCGTCAAAAAGTCACGTAGAAAAATCGTTGAGACTTCATTTAATGTCAATGGGTTTGGGTGCAATACGATGTGGCTTTTTTTTATTACAATGTGCATATATGTGATAAAGGCTGAAGAAACAAAACGATCGACTTGTATCGCATTTTTTTTCTTTTTTCTACTCTTACTTCCAAACCCATAATAATAATAACAATAAAAGCATGCCAAGCAACAATGTAAGTCTCTACATGACTGATAAATGAATGGGCGATATACACAATTTCATTCATGCCGTGCATCTAAAGTGCAATTCATGCCATCATCATCATCGTCACAGTGATTCCGTTTCGTTTATGATTGAGTAGCACTTCTTAATGGCTTTCCACATGACAACTTAGTTTCATCTTCTTGTTTCTCTCTCATTGCACATTTTCCTCATATATACAGCACTGTAATGCACTTGGTTAGGGCTATTGAGGATAGACTCGAAGGAGAAACAAAAATTTCATTAAATATGCTTAGTACAAGTCTGTAACTTTTTCTACCTCGAACCTTTTTCTAGTAATTATTTTTGTATGTCTATTACACCTTGCAACTTTGTTGCAGCATTGACTTTGATGACTAGTTGGAACTAGAATAGAGTTCACATACGCTAATAAATGAGTGAGTTAATATTTACTGAAGCGGCATTTTTCAACATTTTGAATAGAGCAAAGAAAGAAAAAAAAAGTTGTCATAAATTTCGTTATTAATGCACGTCGACTGCTCGACATTACTGGGTCTGAAATACAAATAGCCTGCCATGTCACATATGAAAGCAATATACTACTCTTGCCGCTGTTCTTTTTCCATTTCTGTATTAGCTAATATAGATATTCACGAGATGAAATATAGACATTAATGATGGACATTTTTTTTTCGTATGAGACTGTTGTTGAAAGGAGGGATAGCTGTATACTTTTAATTCGATGTTGCTAATTAATTTCAAATTTTCTAATACACAGATGGTTTTTATGACGCAAAGAATTAAAGTCTAATTACTGCTCGATATTGTTGTCTTGGGAGGTGGGAGGGATAAGGGGGTGGGGTGAAGGTCGTATTCAATTCGTAGAATAGAATCTTTTGTGGAAACATTAGTTGAACCAACAGTAGGACTCGAACCCACGTTCCGTGAATTTTTAAGTCGCATGTTCCTCCTCCTGAGCTATCAAGGGTTACTAAACTACATGACCATATGTTAAACATATATTACACATCTTTTAGCTTCCTATGGACTTCAACAGCATTTCTATTTGAAAACTTGATTTAATTCTTAGGAAACTGCATTCGTCAGATAAGAATCGAAAGTCATCATTTCCAGATGACCCCCATACTCTTCAGCAAAATCCAACAACTCAAGAAGTAAAATAATATTTCTAGAAATTTATAATAAATTTTCTCTTCGCTCCGCACCCACATGACTGCTCTAGAAAGCAGACAAAATTGCAAGAAAATAAAAACTGACATGAGCATATGTTCCTCTCACTGGTAGGCCAGCCGCAGTTGTTTTATTTGTGACCTCATCATAAAATGAAAATAATATTTATTTTCTTGCGGAAATTTGCGATTTTTTTTCTTATTCTTGCTGCTTGCTGCTTTTTATGCAGGATGTCATGTCATTTACGCATATTTCTTTCCTCTCCACCATCTATTAGTGATCGCCATTTCCGTTGAATAATAATTTTTTTTTTTTTAAAAACATTTTCATTTACGGCTTGCCTTTCTTAGAAACGGGTGATGATGATGTTGGCATGTGTGTGCATAAAAAAAAAAATGAGCTGAAACTCAAAACCGAGTGAAATAATAAAAGTTTCCTTCAAACAAAGCGAGAATTGAACGCAATAAACATACATCCAACGCATCGACAGCAACAATGTGATTATGAATAATTCACAATTACTCACAATAGCTCATGGACGAATGTTTGGGTAAATTTTCGATGATGATTTTGCACAAAAAAAAGTGTGTGCTTGGGGCTCGCGAGCGATGCTAGTGATTAT